CTGTGAGAAAGGAACTTATATGGTGGAAAATAATTTGTCATCCACAAGGATGTAGAGATGCTTTTGGACTATTTTACAGAAACAATATCTGCATTTATAATCAATGTCTAAGATTTTGAATAGGTTATTCCTCTTAATCTCTTGCCTTTTTAGATGAGCATTTAGTTGTGAATTCATAGTTTAACTTAAAATAAGATTCAGATCTTTGAAGACTAGTTAATTTAAAAGAGTGTATGATTTCACTTGCCTCTGCAAACTGGCAAAAAATCATCGTTATATAATCAATTTTGACTTGATTAAATTTGACAAATTACTTACTGTTAGTAAAGTTGTGAAATTACTTAGCATTGCAAACTGTACTATTAAACATCCTCATGGTAGTTGGTTCCACAAAGAATGAGCAAGACAGATTAAAAATATTCTGATCATTCTTCAGTTCATATTGTTCAAAGAACAACATGATATGCATAAACAAAGATAACAGGAATAAAATAGCATTTTATACATTTCTATTCTGTTTCTGGTTGTAGCGATTGAGCAAGCATCCTCTTGGGAGTCAGTTCCACAAAGCAGTGGGTTGTGGGAAGAAGTTGCTGAAGTTGAACTTATATCTCAACAATGTCATACAAAGGAAATGAGAGTGGTTTGCTACAATGTGTGTGGTCTTTAAAAAGATTATTAAAGGCAAGATGGACAGAAGTAAACAGCAAATAACCTTCCTGACAAGCTTGGGTAAACAGATGGCAAGACATAGGCTGGAAGTGATAGCAAGAAGAGGCTTAGGATAGGAAGTTGTGGAGACACAATTGTTGTTGTTGTTGAAGAAGAAGAAGGAGGAGGAGGAGAGGAGGGAGAGGGGGAGGAGGTTATGGTTGTTGATTGAATGATTGATTTTCTATGGCTTATCAACAGTTTGCAGGTTATTTAAAGCCAGAAAATATATTTAGATTGTAAGAATTTTTTGAGCAAGATAATGATTTAGTAGTATGCCTTACTAATTAACCCATAGCTAGGGGGAGAGGTGAATTCATAGGTTACAGTTGTGCACATAATCATCAGAGAACTAGGATCAGCCCCAAGAACCTTATAAAGAGATTAGAACTAACAAGGATCTTGAGAAGAATTGAAAGGAAAGCAACAATAGAGTTAAAGTTAACAATAGTGTATCTAGACTGTGTGCCATCTGGGGTAGAATGGGTGCTGCTTGGAACAGCCCTTGAGTTTTCCACCCCCCAATACAACATTTTGCACAATGACTCTCTCTTAATTAATACAACTATAAAGTTTGTCACTTAGCCGATTAATATTAACTATTAACAGGTCCAAAAGACAAAAAATAGAGCAACACATATCATCAAATGAATTTCTGTCAAAGAAAATAAGTGAAATTTTTATAACAATCAAGATGTGTCACTCACACACAATTGTGCTGCAACACTTAAAGAATGCGGCCTGGGTCAGTTTAGAAGTTTCACATTGTCAACAATGATAAAACAGCACTAAATACATCACTGGAAAATATTCATTGTTCAGCCAAGATAATAATTGCATAAATACATATGCCATTGTTTAAGTTACTTGAAATCAAAAAGATCCTTCAACTAGTGATCTGAGATTAAAACCACTTTTACTTAAATGCATCCTATACAGGCTTATACAGCAAATCCCAAAGTGCCACTCCCATGAAAATGTTGCCCATGTTGGATGGCCCTTACTTTCTAGTCTTACTACTGCAAGAACATTGAGGAAAGTGTTATAAATTTTAGAAAACTTGCTATGAGTTAATTTTCAGGGACAGGTATATTTACCTGGTTTCCCCACCAAGGATGGATATGACACAAGGTCATTTTAACACAGGGATCACCATAAGCATACTTATGCATATGGGCCAAGGACAAAAATTGGTCTTTGCCCAGCCCCCATGACCACTGTCATACTGGCATTAGTATTACACCAACCCAACCTCTTTAGTGTAACGAGGAAGGTACTGATGCAGAGTTGGAATCCCCAGGGCTGAGCAACTTCCCCCATCTAAAATCATAACTCCACTTACATCATTGGCTAATGGTTAACTCCTGTGCCAGGTAAATATAGGGACAGTGTCTACCTAATACCAGTGTAAAGATACAAATAGTAATGATGATAATGATAATGATGATTGTATGGTCTTGCAATTTACTTTATGAGAATTGTAAAAAAAAAAAATTTGAGAAAATTATTTTTGTGTTGTTTGGCTGAAGATTGTATGAAAAATTGAATGTTCTTTTTCATTCTTTTTTAAAATTAAAATGCAAGAGTAAAAGATTATTTGTCACTAAATGTTTCTTTACATCAAAGATTGCTTTTTTAAAACCCTACCTCACCAATCAATCAAGGCAATAAGAATAGAAACTCTTTCTTTGAACACTTGCTTCTGTTATTTTATCAGCAAAAAGGCTTTCCTATCAAGAAACTTACCACTATTCTAAATACCAATTCAGGAAAGGAAACAAGGTATAAGATCCTTACACTATGGAATGTCACCCGTGCAATAATTTGTGTTGGCAACAAGAAATTTTATACTTTAAAAACTGAAACAATATAACAACATACAAAAGCGAAACAGAGATTAAATTATTGAAATTTTATCTCATTAGGACATTTTCTATAGTAAAATATCGATAATTGAATGTTTATTTATTATTGTTCATATTATTATACAAGAACAAATGACATTTCGAGCTTTTTATCCCAACCTGGCATCAACAAATTTAAAAACTATCTCAGACATATTTTACAGAATCGTGTAAAAATGAAAATCGTTTTCTCTCTCTCTCTCTTTTGGTTTCACTGGCCTTTCGTAACACGAAAAATGAGTCAGCAGAGTTCCCCGACCCTAACCCTTGTAACTCAAGTATGCATGGTGTATCGTTAAAAGTCATAAGGGAGGGTCGGCTCTCAAGTGAAGTAGAGAGAGTAATAAAATGTGTTACTGTTGCCAGATACAACTCAGCTACTAGAGAAATAACCTTTATCTCCACCTCTGACGTGCCGACTTCTCACTCATTGTCAGAATCACTCATTTTTCTTTCACCCCCGTTTTGAGTTTAGTTTCGACCCGTGTCAATTTTGTTCATTCATTGGATTTAAGCTCAATTTTTATCTTTTACAATTTTTATCTTCCGTCAAATTTATTCTGACGTACTTTACTATGGAATTTATTTACTTCTATCGTTCTTTTTACAGTATTGTTCAAGCCCACTTTCTGATATAATTCAACCCGAAAGAAAGAATATATAAAAATACTTTACTTTACTTTGTATTATTAGTTCTGTTTTCTAGCCATAATTCAGAATTAATAATGACATGCGATTTTTGACTTATTGCATTCTCATCAGTTTTGTCGCTTTTTCTCCTTAATTCTTCCAACTATAATTATAACATCGACTACACATTTTCATTAAGCTTGATAAAAAATAAAAACGAACTTTAACTTCAATCGTTTCATATTTTCTTTCTTCCCATTCGCGTTTTTATACTTCCCTTCTTTAAATCAGGCAACCTACTGATTATTTTCTTGACCCCTCATTAAAGCTCAAACATGTAAGAATGTACTAGTGATTGAAACATTACTCAGTTTTTTCCCTTGTCATTTATTAGGTAGTCTAGATTTTTTCGTTGAGTTTCTTTTTCGTAGCATTCATCTCCTGTCGACATCTTTTCTTCCTGAGTGATCGCGCATGCGTACACAAGCCTTTCTCTTTGAGTGCGACTTCCTCTTCGACTTACCATTTTAGCTCTAGCATCTTCCTTCCTTTATTTTTCTTACGTTCTTCTATTTCATTCCTTTATGCAAAAAGACTGCTTCTTTCGTAATCTATTTTTTTAATTAATTTCCTATAGCACTGACTTTTAATAACGCCAAAAATAAAGAAAAAAACCCCCAAAAAACTGTTCTCTGAACCTGTCTACTTTTTCTTTCAATTCTAGTTTTACTTTCTAGTCGTGTTCTTTGATGACGATCGTTGTAATCATGCTACTAAAAAGTTGACCTTTTTCGAAGTATATAATTTTTCTATCGTTCACAATTTAGTTTAACATGGAGAATTTACTATCCTGAAAAATATTTGATAAATAAATGATCAGTAGTAAGGTTTAACCATAATATTTTTTTAAATATTTGCTGTGCGCCCTCTCTCCCATTTTTAGCGATTGACCCAAACCGTAAAAATTTATTCTCTAGTTTAAGGAATTATAAATTTTAATTTGGACATTTTTTGTCGCATTCTCTATTTTTTTCTCTTACACTTTTAAAATTAAATTGTATCTATGTAAATTAATGTTCCTATATATTTTCTGTATTTTCCTATTTCAAAAGCAAGACTCGTTCGCTGAGTGCGACTGCTCTCTTTTTTCCTCTCGGCATTGCGACCTACCTAGCAAGCTAGCTTTTCCTCCTGCACCTTTCATTATGGCACCTTCCTCCTACTCAATTCAGTGTCATTTCCTACTCGACCAATGTGTATGTTAAATAAATACATAGATATATTTTGAACGAACTATTACTTTCTTTTTTTTTTTATTTTTACATTTTTTTCCTTGCAGAATTAATATATTTTTTATTTTCTATTATGCATTTTTTGCTTTGCATTTTTAAAAAATATTTTCTCACTACTACTACTACTTCAACCACGACCACTAACCACTTCTCCCACCATCACCTCTACCATCATCATCATGGTCAACAACAATAACACGAAGAAGGAAAACACTTGATTCGAGTCACTGTTCAAGCAACTATCAGCAGCAGTAGAGCAGTAACAACAACAACAACATCAAATAGTAGATTTGAGCTTTTCAGTCAAGTCAGACGTCCACGCACTTCAGTCGAAACAGACGGACATACATTTTTAAGGGCACAAACAAGCAGGCAGGTACTTGTGCTACTGACTGAAAGTTTTTATATATATATATATAACATCAATTATAATAATAGAAGATAATACAGCGCCTACACAATAATGGATACTATAGAAGCTGTTGGTAAACATGATTTTAATGCCTCATCCCCTGATGAGCTGAGTTTCCGAAAAGGGGACCACCTCCAGGTGAGACGACTTTTATATTTTATTTTTAACACAAACCTTGTGGTGTTTATTGTTAACTTAAACATGTTGTTCATTACTTGAATCCAACAAAAAGATCACAAACAATGCACAGAACCGAATTACATTTTTTTTTTTTTGCAATTTATTAATTTTTTTGTTGGAACGTTTTAAACACACGCACACATAAATAATAATAATATGCATTTTATTTTTTTAAGCATTAAAAAAAAACATGATTTATTTTGTTTCATAAATAAAGTGTCATAATCCTCATTGATTCAGACCTTATATTTCTTGTTTTCTTAATTTTTATTTTTTATTAATTATGACCAACAATAAAATGTATTTTTCACCATATCCCTCTTTCACTTTGATTTCATTTATTTTAATCACACGAAACATTTTCAGTTCGAGATCTTTCTGTTAACTGCTTTTTTTGAAAATTATAGTAAAGATAATAATGATGATGATGTATTTTAAACATTTCTATCATTTTACTCGCAAGATTTTCGAGAAAAGCAAAAATAATTCTCTATGCAAAACCAATAATAACATCCTTCAACTGACGTCCGAACTAAGATCGTTTTTCCTTCAAATTCTCTGCTGTACTACTTCGATCGTTGTACCTTTGGTCATCCGTAGTCAGAAAGATGTCATCATCACGCTTTCTTTATGGTTCGATTCCTTAAGTCACAAATCGGACACACGCTTTTGGCATTATTTACCTACAAACAGGTATAAAACAAGGAAGAATTCTTCTCTGTGAGGGGCACAAGAATAAGAATTCCAGCACCTCTTTTAACGTCATACAATCATTTACAGGAATTTTCTCGTGTTTTAACATTAAAAATTGTCAGAATTAACGAACGCCCATTTCTTTACTTTTTCCTCTTAGAGAAACATTTAGAATTTCATTTTCAGTCATAGACTAAACTGAAACCAGAACATTTTAAATTCTGTATCTCTTTAATAATCAATAAGTCAGTCAATTGGAAAATTCATTATGCGTTTATTGGTAAAAACTTTTATTTAATTTTATTTTGATTTGAATCACTTATCCTATCCATCACTCAAAGTCTTTGCTAATGCTTTCCAAAATTTTAGCGAAATCTCTTTTTTAATCACAATTCGGATATTAATATAAAAGATGATTAATATTATTGACTTTTCTTTGTTTTTTTGGGTTTTTTTTTTTTTCAATAAAGATAATTGATCTGGAATATAAATTTAAAAATGGTAACATAGGAAGAATTTATCCTCCATGCTTTTTTTTTTTTTTTTTTTTTTTAAATCAAAGAATTATTACTTTTTTTTTTTTTTTGTCATTTTTCAGAATAAATTGGAAATTTAACTCTACTAATTATTTAAGTTTAAATTATTTTCTTCAAACCATTTTTTTGTTTTCATTTCGGGGGCATTATTATTTTATTTTTTATTTTTAGCTGATAATTCTTACTTAACTTGTAGCAGAAATTTTAATTTTTAATTTTTTGCTGGGAGGGGGGTAAATATATTTATTTATTTACATCTGTCATTCTTTACTGCATAAAATCATTAATCATAATTTTTATAGTCCGTCTTTTCTCCAAGCAAGAAACCTTTTAAAAATCTTTTGAACAGAATCGTCTTCTTAAAAGCGTGGTTTATAGGTTTTTTTTTGTTTTTGTTTTTTTTTTTGTTTACCGACAGTAAAATTTAAAATGATCTCATTGAATTTTTGTTGATGAAGAAAAATTAGGTGAAATTTTACATATATTATTTTTTTAATTTAAGATAGACATTTTGTTGTTAAAAGAAAAACAAAACCTTATTTCTACAACAACTGATCTTGTTTTTGTCAGTGTTTAGATTCTTTTTAGTTTTTTTTAGTAACATAAACTTTGCTTCATTAATATTTTTGTCAATATTGGTTCGTGACTGACGAAATTTTCGCCTTAAACGAAGACAATTTTTATTTCTAAATATCTTTAAAAAAAAAACCCAAAAAACGGATTTATTCACGAGCGGGACATTTTTTTTTTTTTTTTTTAAGGATAGAAAATTTTACATTTATTTTAAAGTGGTGGACTGGCTGCTGAAGAAGAAATGATGGCCACTACTTTCTCTTCAATTCAAGTTAAAATTTTTACTACTACTAAACTCCTGAATACATGGGCATTTGTTACGAGCGAATTGTTTTAATTAAACACTTGTAAATTTAAATTTTTTTTACAAAAATTAATGTTTTCGTGGCCTCAAAATTAAAGAATAAAATTTTTCCAGTCTTTCAAAAATATCATCTTTCTCCTCCCTGCTAAATGTCTGTGTTGTAGTGTATCTCAGTATGTGTGCACTTGGTCTTCTTATAACATTTGTTGCTGCTGGTGTGGTTGGTAGTCATCGTTCTTTTTTTTTCTCTCCGATCTTCAGCTACCACCACAGGAATCACCTGCATAGTAACGAAATAAATAAAAATACCAGCATCAGGTTTTTAAATTGCTTAAAATTTCTTAAACTTAGTTATTTCAATTCAATCTCAGTTTTTCTTTTTTTTTTTTATAAATCATAAGTACTTCCTCTGTCTTTCTTTTTCCTAAACCACTGGCAGTGTTTGGATTTCGTAATTAAAAAAAAATAATAATTAAGTAATATATTATTAAATTTAATTTTTAAGACTAAAAACTAGTTTGTTAAAAAATCAATTCAATATAATTTAAACTTGGTTTTAATTTCCAACATATAATTTCTTACGGAGTAAAAAAATTTTTATAGCCTGTTGCATTTTTTAAAATTTTTTTTATTACAGTCGAAACATGAAATTTCTTATGTTGTCTGTATTTTCAATCTGAAATCGTTTTTTCTTAGTCACTTTTTATTTTTGATTTCATTTCGAATGGAAAATCTAGTGAGTATTACTTTCGTAGCAGTTTGTACTTTATTATGGTTACAATTCAAGTGGTAGCTAGAGAAAAATGCCTAATCATAATTTGTAAATTAAAACATCCTATTTGGTCGCTATAATCATAAAATTAGTTACGACGATTGATAAGAAATAATTTAGAAGAGGGATATATCGATTTAACGTGAAACTATTTTTACAACTAGTGATATCAACCAGGACAACTTGCATTCCTTTTGGTGTGACATGTTTCGTTTCACCATACGTCATTGTGACGACACATTTATTACTGCAGTCACTGCTGAACAAGTTTAAAAGCTGATCATTTTCGACCGGCTCCGCTAAGGCAATAAAAATGTCGTATACCCTGTCGAAGTTTTATTATGTCGTCGTTGTTGACAGACAATTTGTTGGAATAAATGTGAATTATTTATTTTCATTACGAATGGACAGTCTTCAATTTTTTTAATTTTTTTAAAAAATATTTTGGAATAAAACAACAATGACATTTTCAATTTAGTTGTCTTGAGTTGGATATTTTTCCTTTTTTCAAAAAGGTTAAGTTGGTTAACTAACCTTGGTAGTGTTAAAAATATGAAATCAATGTATTTCTTGAAATGACATAAGCATGGTCTATATTGAAAATGCCATTTTTAGACATCAGGTGGGTGTTGCCGTTATGGTGGGTGGTTGTTTAAACGGATGAGTGACTATTAGTGTCAGTGTTGTCATTTAAATAAACTTTTCTTTTTAACATTAACAGCCCGTCTTCGATTATTCGCAACTAATATTTTTATGAAGTTTATTAAAAATAAATATGGATCATTTTGTTCACTAGTTTTTTGGATAATTGTTAATAATGTTAGCCTAGGGGTTTTCTGTTTATTTTTTTGGGGGGGGTGGTAAACTAGCTGGCTCTATTGGGCGGGGGTAAACTAGCTGGCTCTTGATAACAACACCTATTTTTTTTTTTTTTATGTTCACTATTTTCCAGGCTCAAGGGCCACTCAAGGTAAGGGGGTTCGTTATTGAAGGCGATTTTTGTGTGAACGGTAAGAAGACTAAAGGCACAGTTTACGGAAGATAACTGTTCGGGTTAACTAACTCTCTAGCTAGACTTGAAGAGGTAAAGATTTTAGTGGTTGCGGAAAGAAAGTATCCTCCTGGGATTCTGTTCCACAAAGCAACAGTTAAGAAGTTATCTATCCGAATAGAGAGCTTTGATTTCACTTTCAGTTTTGCTCTAGTTATGTAATTATTATAATCATCCCGTTCTTACAAATTTCTTTACTAACATCAGGGGAAACGAAAAACAAAGGTCTGGGAGACCTTTTCTTTTTTTTCTTTTTTTTATACACATCGTTACTTTAAATAGGCGATCCTTTTTTCTGTTATATTTCTTATCTTCTCCAATTATTGTAAATGTCAGTAAAATCAATGTTTAGTTAAAAAACAGTAAATAAAATTTAATAATTAAAAAAGCTAAATAAATACATGACATTTTTAGATTAGTTGTATGTATGTGGGCCTCTTTTGAAGTGCCCAGACTACTGTCATTTCTTCGCTGTTATGGCCACTTCCTGTCTCTTGGTGTTGCCATAGTGCTTTCTTCTTTGAAGACATCTTGTGTTGTAGTTCTAAACTGATGGAGTCGCTGTTGTACACCAGTAGCTGCTGCTGGCCTAAACTTCCATCTAGATGTTGCTAAGTGCCTACCTTCTATTTTTTTGTCTTTTTCTTTCTCTCCTTGCCTACCTTATCTTTAAATGCTTGTCTGTTTGTCTCTAATTTATATAGTATTTTTCTGTCTCTCGCTCTCTTGTTTCGAACTAGTTTGTCATTTCCTGGGTCGGGGAAAACCGCCTCAAAAGAGAAACCACCATATGGAAACTCCTTCTTTATTACAACTGACATATTTTTAATCAAGTGAAAAATGTTATTTTCTAAAAAATTCAAATCCAAATTATTTTATGTTGACATTTCGTAACATTTGGTATTTTTTTTGTTTGTCTGTTTTTTTTTTGTTTTTGTACAGTAACCCACCTCGAGTCTTAATAAAACTAAGACTTAAAAAAAATTAAGGTGTTGTTTGTTTTTAATTAAGCAATTGCAATACAATACT